AAGTGGCCACCAGAGGATAAAGTCACCATAGTCACAAACTGAAGTACAGGGCCAGCCACACATACCTAGTAGGATGCAGCATTTAAATGATCATTGGCTGATTAGAAATTTGCATACAAGAACATTTGTTCATATGTACTTAATTAAGTGGCAAGTCAACATATAGTTTCTTGTTTTTGTTAACATCACATTTGCTTCGTTTTTCATTGTTTTAAATCATTCATTTCTGATTCTAAACAGTTGATCTCAACTTTCTACTATCAACACATTATCCATTAGAGATTTTGGTTTAAGGAAATTTAGGAATGGACATCATTGTTGTTCAATTCATCTTAAGAACCAATTGATTATAAAAAATTTGGAGATACCACAATAACATCATAAACATAGATTTCAAAAGAGAGCTTTCAGAACATTGAATCCATACCAAGAACTGAAACAGTTCTGAAGACAGAAGGGTTACAAACTGGTACTATAAAATATACCAAAAAAATTAATAGTAGAATATTAAATAATGTGCTAATGGCTGTAGAACAACTGGGACTGAAACTGAGATAATATAGAGAGTCAAATTTTTTCAGCTCGTATCCATAAAATCCATAAATGTTGCCGTTCTCTTTTTCTTAAATGCATTCACCTCTGTAACTTTGTCACCTCTTTTTTTTTAAACAAATTTGATCACTCTCCCCTTGGGTAAAATTATGAAGAGCAAATGACTTACTCAAAGTCAATATGTGTCCTGCTGGTAGAATAAACCAAGTTTTTCTCGTTCTGTTTTTAATTTTAAAGAAATAGATAAATACTTTAGGGTATCATGGGAAATGCAGATTTGATCAGTCTATTTGAAAGAAATATTGCTTTCATTAAAGATTCATTTTAGATGTCTTGTCAACAGTTCAAGTATTGATAAAAGAAAAAGTTATTTGCACTGAGAAAATTAGCTTTTATTATCAGAAGGAATATCTTAAGAATGGAAAGATTTTAAAGAAAATGAATATAAAAATGCATGAATAAATGACATCCAAACACATGTATGTATATATATGCATTTACAGGCATATAGTTCTTTTATATACATATCTTTATATAAATCATGCATGTATATACAAATGTACATTCATATATATATGGTGGACTTGTCACAGACAATGAGGGCTCAGTAAAGCAAAAAAGTGTTCAACTTTTATGGACACATACATGTCTCCTGAGGCCTGTCTTGTAGACTTTTTGACAGATGGAACATGTGACAGCCTCATTTTGCATGAAAGGTTGAGGATCAATTACCATATGTTTCTGCAAGTAGGAACCAAGGCCTGCTTTATTGTGTGCAACAAAACCACATTGTCTAGAAGGGCAACCACTGAGAGGATCCGCATGCTGCTGACTTGCATTAATATTTGTATGCAGTTGATCCCTTCACTCAGACATTTGTATAGATGAGAAACAGGACAGGTGCCTGATCTTGTGCACCAATGCTTTCTTTTCCCAGAAAGGAATTGCTTCATTGCGTCTTTGAAGATTAGGAGTGGCCTTCCAAATGAAGTTGGCCAAAGAGAAGTTGTTTTGGAATTCTGCTATTGCTCATGCAAGAAACATATTCTGTCCCCCTGAGTTGGATTTTCATGAGGATGCATTTAGTCAGAATTTCACTGTTTCTAATGCGATCACTCAATTTTATGTTGCAGATCGTACATGGGCAATGCATGTTGAAATCATTGAGTGGATTTATCTGTTGTCAGTACAGAGTCCAAGAATCTGCATCATAGAGTAAAGATGTCAGTATTACTGAAATGCACACTAATTTTTACATTTAACATGACACTGCAAGTGTTCTAAAACTTATGGTAAAGATTACTAAATTAGCCTTTCCAAGCCTACACTCGCATCCTAGGTAAGACGTTAAACTACGTCCAGCAACAAGGCCTCTGATCAGGAGGCTTTGAGGAGCATAGACCCACCTCTTAATTGCTGGTGTTCCCAGGTCCACCCTGACACGGAGTGGTAGCACCTGTTAGGGTCCCAGCTATGGGCAAATAGTTAACTATTACCAGGAATACTTTTATTGAAAAAAATTATTACCATCAATACAATTTTGAAGGAAATATATTACCAGAAACAGATTTTTGACAAAATAAAATATTACTAGCAATAAAAATTTTTGTCAGCATTAAATTGAGGTTGATGTGCCATAAAACAAAATAAATCATACCACTCTAAACCAAAGAATACATACTCTATTCATACGAATCTTTCCTAAAAGTGTTGTTGGCATTAAATAACCCATTGAGGTTGATATACCGTTAAACCAAACCAATCTAAACCAAATAATACATACTCTATTCATACGAATCTATCTTAAAAATGTTGTCGGCATTAAATAACCCATTGATGTTGATGTGTCATTAAACAAAATAAACCAAACCAAACCAAGTCTACATTCATTTTCTTTGTTCATCTTAGCATCATTGGATGTCATGGAGACAAGATAGGTGAAAGTGGAAATGGCTTTCAAGGTTTTTCTGTCAACATAAACAGTGGGAGCAACTGCTGGGGAATAGTTACAGATACACTGATGGACAAGTTCTGTTTTTTTTATGCTGATGGTCAGATTAAAAGCTTTAGATGCATGAGAGATATTGTTAATGATCTATTAATATATCTTCAATGTTGTAGACTACAAGTGTACAATTATTTGCAAAGTAATAGGTCATGAATTGCCTCCAAAGCAGTCCAAATATCTTTTTCTCTGCATTAGCCAAATTTCATGAACGTTAAATTTAAGTCAGTGTTAGGTTTCTTTATTAGAATGATAACACTTTCTAATTAGGTGTTCTTCCCTAGGGAGAATACCAGGTGCTATAAGCTTGGATGTGCAGGAGGTGTAATGGATAATGGCTCAGAATTGTTAATTGGAGAGCTGAGTTCCAATTCTAGTTGGGTTTTTTACATTTACTTATTCACAAATGCCATTGGGAAAAGTATGAATCCACCTCTTCTCTTCCACTCTAGCTATGGGTTAATTAATAAGTATTACTAAATCATAATTATCTCTAAAAACTCTTACAATCTAAAAACATTTTCTGGCTTTAAATAACCTGCAAAGGCTTGATAAGGTATAGAAAATGAATGAATCAGTTAAATACTGATTAGCAACACAGACATATAATTTTATATTTATTTACATTCTCTGCAATGCAAATGTATAGAAACTACCCTGGCCATAAAGTGAGGGATCAGTTTATATATTCATTGTAATATAGAATTGATCCTCCATGTTATAAACACATTATAATTTCTTGTTTATCTATCAAATTCTGATTAAGCATGAACCCCCCTCTTAGTAAGACTGATATCATTAAACTGTTATTATCGCCCCTAAAAAATTCTTATAATCCAAAAATATTTTCCAATTTTAAATAACCTGCTAAGGGTTGATAAGCCATAAAAAAATGAATCAATCAAAAAAGGAAAAAAGTTACATGAAGTTGCAGTTTGGGAACAGTGTGTAAACAGCACATAGTGAAAGGGTTTCTACATGGAGAGATACAACAGTAAACTACATGTATACAAAGGTATACATTAAACAGTTGTTCAAATAAGAATATGATGTAAAAGGTGACCAATGCAGATAGAAAAGTTAAAAAATGTATATACTAGCAATTTTAGAGATCAGATTTAGGGGTATACAAAAGAATGAACAGTGTGCTTTGAGCCTGTGCTTTATTGTTTCAATTCTGGTGATTACCACAATGTAAACAGGAAGTAGTCAAAAATGGTGATTAAACTAAAATGTACATAATTAATAAGGGGATGAACAAGGGGAAAATAAAATAATAATGGTTCAGTATGGTCATACACCCTTGTGCAAATTAAATTGAAACAACCACTTTTGTTTCTTTTCTTTCACCATACAGTTAGTTTTAGACCCACTGGAGTAGCAGGGTGTAATTGATTTCTATTTTTTCCTCAGAATAGATCATTTGCAGTGGTGTGCAGTTATATTCATCTATTTTCGAGGTGTATGATGAAATTTGTTTGGCCTTGAAAAATATTGTGTCATCCATGAATGCATCAGATTTTCATCACATCTAGATATTATTGTCTTGACAGTCGATTAGTTATCCTACAGCCATTGTCTGTGATGCATATTACTCCAAAGAAGTGTATAGCAATTATAATGCTGCATGAACACACTAGCAAGCTTTACCAGTGAGCAAATCAAAGTACTATAGATTGGCCTGGAAATTCTTTTGATTTAAATCCAATCACAAATTTGTCATCAGTCTGCAAGGAATGACTTCATGGAATGGACATACAAAGTACTAACATGTGCACTGGGCCATGTTTCATTGTAACAATATGAAAAAAGTAAATAATAATGGAATTACTCATTTTGTTTCAATTAATTTGCATAAGGGTGTAAGAGAATAGTGTGACTGATGTTGAGATACCAGGTCAGGATTGAATATATTACAGACCTTGGTCGAATTGGTTTGAGCCTACTTTTTTTCTTTCTTTCTTAGTTTTGAACTTTTCTGGACAAAAGATGAAAGAATTTTTGAAATTACCAACCATTCTCACTGTTGCTAAATTTGATGAGTGTTTCATATTTCGATATTACAAGCAAAGGATCATCAGAAAGCACACATCTGAAAATTTTCTTTAAAATCTTTACTGGAAATATTTTGATGTATCTGACAGTAAACTCTAACAAATATTCCATCTTTCAACTTAACGGAAGATTCTTATATGACCACCAACCCATCACTGTCATATTGGATTCTTAGCCAGGATTTGGGTGGAGCAGGCATCAAGCTAATCTTGTAGTCTCTTGCATCAGTGAAGATTCATATGTAGAAATGATAAGAAATACCCCATGAGCCCTCAGTCTGATTATTACGAGATTATGATTTCTCTTTCTCTTTTTCTATTTAATTTTCTTTGCTTTCTTTCTTTTTCTTTTTTCTTGTTTTTGTCTTTTCTTCAACTGACTCTAAAGGTCAGCAATGGAGGGAAAGTCTTTTAGTTTGTTCCTCGAGGTACTGCAATTTGCATGAAGCAATGAAGTGTTGTTGAATATCACTACAAAATGACATGAAGCAAGAGAAAATATTTACATAAGTATTAACACATCTTGTAAGAATCGATGACTAAAGCATGCCTCTCAGTACACATGGACAGTATATTAATAAAATTCACTTTGTTTTATATATATATATATATATATGTATGTATGTATGTATGTATGTATGTATGTATGTTTGTAGGATATATAATAGTATTCAAAACAAAAGTGGAGATAATGAGACAGACTGGAAAAGCTTACAGACAACACATTTTACCAAACATTACATGTCAGGTTCTGCTTCTTCAGGTCAGAATGAAAGACAAAACTATAAGGAAAATATGTTGGGATTTTTGAGGATAAGAGGGCCAATAAATTAAATAACCTCATCAGATCTTATGACTAGAAACTGGAAAGTGTTGGTTTGTTTTTTTACACACATGCACAACTGCTGATGGTACCAACAGACAACTTGTCAAAACCTAAAACACTTATCCAGATAAAGACTTGAACAAAAACAACAATACTGAAAAAAGAAAATAGGCCTAAAGGCAAAACAAACTACTCAGTAAAGTACTCAAAGCCTAGACAGAGCAGAAACTGCTTAACAGCGTTAAATCCTATGAAAGGATTGCCCTAGTTAAAACCTATCTTTCATGCCATGTGATCTTCAGGTGACTTAAACACATTCTTATATATATATATATATATATATATATATATATATATATATATATATATATATATATGCAATGAGAATGAAAGTAATATATAAATTCTAACCTTCACAGCATTAATCCAAAAGAGGGCTCAATACCGATAGTAGACCAATAATTATTTTGACAGGTGAGAACCAATGAAGGTTCATAACCATTTTCGGTTTGCACCCGTTTCAGTGCAGATGAAATGCACTGAAACGAAGTTGCATCTTTGTAGTGAGTAAAATGGTTTTGTCTATATGATAAAATTATAATAAATTAATATATATATATATATATATATATATATATATATATATATATATTCATTGATGCATGTTTCATTAAATAATATAGAGACATGTTTTGCCTATTTATTTTAAGTAAGTTCCTTTCATATTGTGTATATATATATATATATATATATATATATATATATATATATATGGGCCATGTACATCCTTTGGATTTTAAATCAGACCATTCCAAGTAGATCTCTATTTTTTTTTCTCTATTAACTCATGTAGTGCATTGTGCTACTATTGAATTTGTGATGATCAGTGATATTCTGTATGAGCCTGGTCTTATGTTTGTAAGATTATTGCAGTTTCAATTCTTTTTCCCTTGGTGAATACTTTTCTCTCCTGATCAGATTGAAATTTATTAAGTCAAAACAATTATAACCACAATTTTGATTTAATGAATGCCAGTCTTCATCAGAAGAGACTGCAATCCTCACACTTGAGGATACCATTTAAACATGAAACAGACTGTCAAAATTCATTGTTGATACCTATGTCTACCCCACTTATATTTATGTATACTGTATCCCTGATTTAGAGCACATTTCCTCCACAAATATAGTATACCTCAATAACTATATTTTTCATATGTATGTATATATATATATATATATATATATATATATTCTCTCTCTCTCTCTCTATATATATATATATATATATATATATATATATATATATATAGAGAGAGAGAGAGAGAGAGGAATAAGGTATATGAATATTTTTATAAGTTTTCTTTTTCTAAAAACATATATATGTATGTAAAATAATTCCCCCTTCCCCTCACAAATTTTAGACTTAGACATATCCTTTTTTCTTCTAGTATATAAATACATGTGTGTGTGTTTGTGTGTAGACACAAAATCACAGACAGAAAATGTCTACAGCTGTCCTAACATTCAACACACACACATTTTTATTGATATTTAATCCTGTTCGCAGTTAATCATATTCACATATATTTCTTTTTGCAGTCGACTGCATGCACACTTAATATGGCAAATATATTTCATCAGACTTTCAAATGAGCTGGCAAGGCTGTAAATCAAAGCTGCGTTAATACAGATTTGTGCAAACTGAACATATTCAACACAAGCGTATTGACTTCTTTACATAGATAGATAGAAATGAAAATGAATTGAGATGTTGAGAGGAATAGGTTTTGAGATTCAAGAATAGGCTAATATAGAAAGGATCTAAAGATGATATTAACAGACTGAGATAGATAGATAGATAGATAGATAGATAGATAGATAGATCTGGACAGACAAAGATAGATAGATATGAACAGACTAATGTATATAGATATTAATAGACCAAGATAAATAGATAGATATGAACAGACCAAGATAGATAGATATGAAAAGGCTGAAATGAATAGAGGGCATGATGGGTAAATTGCTGCCATTTTATATTTTTAATTTCACATTGTTTTTGATTTTGTTGACTGCACAGTATAATAGGATCATTTTGGCACCATCTGTGAGAAAAAGAGCACCATGACACAATTAACTCCACCAGAAATTTGGAAACAGCATGCTGTACTGCTTGACATTCACGCTAGAAGCTCCAATACGAACATTTCTGAGTGTTTGGGTATCAATTAATTCAGAAAGAGTTGGATGAGCCTAATGTTGATTATGCAGTACGGCAGCTTAGAAAACTCACTCTGATCATTCTGATAAGAAAAGAACTCCGGGACTCAGACTCAACATGGAAGCCTACATCAAGTGCCTTAAAGAGGTAGTGCTGCCCTGGGTCAAGAGAGTGGCTGCTGGAAGACTCTATATCTAGAAAGAGAACTCTGCACTATGCCATACAAGCAGGAGAACACGGTCATGGCAGTCACACAATTTCTGCAACTACATCGCCCTTTACCTAAATCTCCAGACTGCAACCCCCTTGATTATTATGTGCAGGGTACAGTTGAGTGAGAGATGAACAAAACTCCTTGTAACACCAAAGATGAACTGAAGGCAAGGATTATGGCAGCAATCACTGACTTAAACAAGGCATTTGTCCAGAAGAGTTACATGAGATTCTGAAGTCATCTGGAAGCCATGGTTGAGGCCAGTGGCGATTTTATTGAATAAATTTACTCTTTAGTATTTCAAGATATTTTTGTGTAATTAGACCACAATTTATCCATCACATCCTGTAGATATGAACAGACTGTGACAGATAGATAGATAGATAGATAGATAGATAGATAGATAGATAGATAGATAGATATGAACAGACCCAGGTAGATAGATAGATATGAATGGAGCAGGATAGATAGATCGATAGCAAAGGAAAGAGAAATGAAGAAATTTAAATAGAAAGGAAAAGATTAGGATGGATACAGTTTTAGAGGTACAAGTATTGATATACATAGATAGTAGCAAATATAAAATTCCCTGCAATATATAGAGATATGTATGAAATCTTCTTTTGTGAAGCGAAGTTATGATTCTTCTTGACTTCGTTAAGAGTTGGCCTTCTACAGCAACTGTCTGATTTTGAATTGAAATAAATCATGTGGATTCTTGGCTTTAGGCTGTTATAAACTCTGATTTAAAAGGTTACCCTTACATAACCATCTGACAGACATATAGATAGATAACTAGATGAACAGACAGAGAAAGATAGCAAGATGTAGCGATAAATAGACAGATCTAAATTGAAAGAGATAGATTCCAAAAGAGAGAAGAGAGAAAGAGCTATAAGTGGAAAAGAATATAGTGCGATATATATTGACTGATTTAGATGGATTTGAATAGACATAGATTAAATAGAAGTAGAGAGAGAGGTAACAAGATAGATTGAGAAGTTGCAAGATAGAGATCGGGGAAGAGAGAGATAGGGTTGCAAGGGAGTGAGATAGATAAAGAGAGTGGTAGCAAGATAGAGAAGTAACTAGGTAGATATAAACAGAGAGGTAGTAAGGTTGAGAGATAGATATAAACAGACAGAGAGGTAGCACAATATAGCGATAAACAGACAGATATATATAAACAGAGAGCAGTACAAGATAGAAAGATATGAAAAGAATTTTATAAAGGTTTATATATATATATATATATATATATATATATATATATATATATATATGTATGTGTGTGTGTGTGTGTGTGTGTGTGTGTGTGTGTGTGTGTGTGTGTGTGTGTGCGTGTGTGTTTTCTTAAAAATGACTGACAGGGTACTGCATTTAAGTTTTTATTTTATTTTTCTTATGCTCTTATATTCTTTTCTTTTTGGGGATATCAGTTATGTAGAAATTGTCCAAATATTCTGTATGTCTGACTACTTTCAGCTATACTTGTAGACATTATCAAGGATGATATTATTTTTAATCTTTAAATGAATGTATGGATGCTTTTAATTATTTATTTAGAGTTATAGAGATGTTCTATTTTCAAAGCATGGTCAGCACATTGTGGCCATGTTCATAGTTGATATTATTGAGTGTTGGCTTTTTCCTTTTTATTATCAATGTTTCCATATTGCCAAAAGCACTCGGACATATACAGAACATTCAGACAATTCCTGCATAATTTATGTCAAGAAAAGAAAAAAATTATAAAAGCATACAAAATTTAATAAAAAACTTAACCAAAATACCTTGTCATTTATTTTAACAAAACATGCATAAAAGAGAGATTGCTGCCCAAATACATCTATCTATATATCTATATAACATATATATATATATATATATATATATATATATATATATATATATATATATATATATATAAAGAGAGAGAGAGATGAAGAGAATGATAGCAAAATATGAAGAGATAGATAAGAGAATGATAGATAGATAGATAGATAGATAGATAGATAGATATGAAGAGAATGATATTTAGATAGATATGAAGAGAAGGATAGATTGACTGATATGAAGAGAATGATAGATAGATAAGAGAATAATAGAGATATGAAAAGAATGATAGATAAATAGATAGATATGAAGGGAGTGATAGATAAATATGAATAGAAAGATAGATATGCAGAGAATGTTAGATGCATCATTAATAACTATAAGATTAGTTATAATCATTATACTCTTCCTGTTGAAACTGTTTATAAATGTCTGGACAATACTAAATTGGGAACAGAACCTGAATATTATTTGTTAAACAGAAACAAATATTATTTAATTTTTAAAATAATCCAGCTTAAATAACTATTAATTAATCACTACAGTAATTTTTTTATACTTTACATTCATTGATTACAAAAATAACCTCTTCCCTTCCACATTGTCCACAGCATCATTCTCGACTTTGTTGCTGGGTAAAATATGACATCTGAAGGTAATCAATATAAGTCATTTAGTTTCCCATTTTAGAGTTACACTTAGGCAAACTCTAAGAAACATAATCTTGAATTGATTTTTGTTATTTTCATGTAAAAATAGAGCAAGTTCATTCACCCAAATTGAAAAATCTCATTCCAGTGTCTGGAAATTTTGTCATGGCAGAGAGTAAAACAGTCAGTCAGTATGGCAGAAGATGGTTCTAATGATTACTTCTAAAACAAGTCAAAAATCTACATAAAAGTTTCTCTCTTTTGTTGTGGAAACGTTCTCCAACTGAAATCTGAGGGTGCATTGGAATAATAAAAGATGCCTACCAGAAACTAAACTATGTATTAAGAAACAGGAAAATTGCTCAAGGAAAAAAGAAGAATGCTCAGCTGTTACTTAATATCATTCCTCTTATATGGCAGTCATAATGAAAATGACCAACAATTATTACAACTTAAGAAGCTTTAATAAACTAATTTTACAAGCTACTGTTAGTGACTTAAAAATCCACCTTTGTTTCCTTGTAGCATGCAGCAAGTGTGTCATAGTTCAGAAGAGTTCCTTAAGGGCCAATAACCTTCATTTACAAAAGAGTTCCCAAGGGCTATCAATTGTTATTATTACAGCAGTTAATGCTGGTGAATTTCCTAACAGATGAAGAGGAGACTTGAGGCAAGAGAAATGTAGTTGTACAGAAGGATGAGGATGCTATGGATGGAGCATGTGAGTAATGAGGAAGTTTTAAAGAAAATCAAAATATAAAGAATGCTTATACTTAGAATAAAAAAAGAGACAATTTAAATTCGTAGGACACATAATGAGGAAAGAAAGCCTGGAAAATTTGATGCTCACAAAAGCAAGGAGGGCAGAGGGAGACAATGAGTAACCTACCTAATGAGCTTGAATAGCAGAAGAGAGAGTGGGAGGAATAGTAAAAAAACACTGCTAAGAGCTAACAAGGATAGGAAGTTGTGGAGAGCCGTGGTTGTTCATGTCTTAAAGAGACACAGCATATAAAGAAGAAAGTATTTTTATGTTATCTTTTTTATGCATACATTTCATTTTCATGATACTGCATTTTATATTATTTTATTTTCTCATATTCTTTCATTATTATATTTTGCCGTAAACTTTTCTGATTAAAGAAGACTGCAAAAAATTAAAAATAAATAAATAATCATATGTAAGATATTTACAGGAAAGTAAAGCGACAATGAAATAATTAACTGGAAAATTTAATAAGGAACAAAGAAAATAATGCTAAACTGTTATATAATATCAATCCTCCAATATGGCACTGAATGCTGGACAGTCTCCTCCCAAATGAAATGGAGGCTTCAGGCAACAGAAATGTGGTTCTACAGAAAGATGCTGAGAATACCATGCACAGAGCATGTGAAAGTAACAAAAAAAAATCTTTAAGGAAAATATTAACAAATGAGACATTTGCATTTAGAATCAGAAAGAGACAGATGAAATTTCTTGAATATAATGAGAAAAGAGGGCTTGGAGAATCTGAAGGCATGAAAGACTAAGGGAAGCAGTGAATAACCTACATAACAGGCTTGTATAAATAGATGGTAGGACAAGGACTAGTAGGTATAGTAAGAAAACAAACATTACTTAGAACTACAAAAGGTAGGAAGTTGTGGAGAACAATGATCATCCACACCCTGAAGGGACACAACACATAAAAGAAGAAATTTACAATTATATGTAATATCTGTAATATAATTTTATTGTTATTTAGAGTAAAAAAAATATAACAAATCAAGTAGTTTGTAGGAAGATCCTCATTGCAGATGCCTGCTCAGGCACTTTTGCATTTGTTCAACACCCATGGAACCCATCTGTAATTAATGCTGCAACTATGCTGAATGAACTTTAGTATACAGTTTCTGGAGAGACTGCTGTGGTGAAATTTGAACCCAGGTTTCATGATTGGAAAGCAAAGATTTTACCACTCATCTACATGCCAATTAACATTAATATCAACATCAGTTACTGAATATTACAAATATAATTTCAATAATATCTGGGAAGTGTTACAACAAACATCAAAAAAATGTGACAAAGAGATATAAAGGTGCACTGGAATATCAAAAGATGCCTTCCAGAAGCTAAACTATTAAGAAACAGAAAAATGAGCTGAAATGTAATATCAGTCTTCCTACATGATAGATATTTTCCTTGCAGATGAAGAGGAGACTTGAGAAAACAGAAGTGTGATTCTACAGAAGGATGTCAACATTTCCAACATTGTTAAGATATTTTAACTACTTTATCCAATGTGTGCTGCTGTAAACACAATAAATTGGTTGATCAGTCCGTCAACTTTTCATCCTGGGTATAATGAAAAACTACATCCACCAGCAAGGGCACTAATCAGGAGGTTTTGAGGAGCATGGAACCACCTCTTAAATGCTGTTGTTCCCATAAGTTAAACAAACTATTTTTTTAATCATTTCATACCATGTAAGGCAGGAATGCCACTAGCATGCAGGGGGTTGCCAAGAGTGAAAGTGGGGGAAAAGATTGTGTATAGAGGAGGTTGAGTAAAGGATAAAAGAAGAACAGGGATCAAGGCAACAGAAGATGGCGACTGACCTTACATTTAAATTTTTGAAGATTGTATTTATCAGGGAAGCAAGTAAGAGGAAGGGAGTTCCACTGTCAAGAAGTGCTAGAAAAAAAACTGCTGGAGTAGAAGTGGTGGTTGCATTTAACTATTTCAACGGTAAAAGGGTGGGATCTAGATGCCAATCTGGTAGCAAGCTTAAATTTATATAGTCGGAGCATAAGGGAAGGTAGCTCATCAGAAAAGTTGCAATAAAAGTATTTGTATATAGAGGGAAGTCATATCAACAACTATGAGAGAGTGACTGAAGTTGAGATGTCGAGTCAGGACTGATTACATTGCAGATTCTTTTGGGGATTTTGTTGAAAACCACAAGATGAACAGCAGGGGCACCAGACCAGATATGGCAACAATATTCAATGCATTGATGAATGGTAGATTTATAGATATGTAAAATGAGAAATACCTTCTGGCACAACACAGTGAACCAACTTTCCTTGCAGAAGATACAGCTATTGATTCAATGCAACCATAAGTTCTATGATGACAGTTTCTTCTTTTGCATGTCTCACTTGTGGAACTCTCTTTTGGCCTCTTGCCTTCCAGTCAATTTTGATCTTCAAAAATTCAAATGCAATGCTAATTATTATCTTTTGTTTTCTTAATTCCTGTTCTTTTATTGTTCTCTCTCCTTAATAATGTTTTTTTTTTCTTTTTCTCATATTCTTTCACACTCAGTAACCCTTTGTGTCTTTATTTGTTTGGGTTGAAATGATTAAAAAAATTTGACAGAAAATTTTCCTAAATTTACCCACCCAATTTTATTTCTTTTTCTTATTTTCTTTACTCTTCAGAAATGTCTAAACTATTATCTTTATACAATATTTTTCTCATGTCAATGCTTAAAAATAGCTTCAAGTGAATAAATCCTTCATCAGACCCTATAGACTGTCACTACATAATCACAAAGGGCTTTACAAAATAACAGAAACCACATCACTTGAAGACTTCCAACAGCAACAATAAAACATTGGTAGAACATGTAAGTACAACGGAGAATAATGATATAAGCAAGATGTTAATTTTCCACACTCACTTAAACTAAAAGTTAGGATTACTGGAAAGAACAATAACAGTTAATGGACTTGAGGAGTCTGTTTTCTTGAAAAGCTCTTTTAATAGAAGGATAGTATAAATTTCAACCAATTATAATGCTAAGTGTTTGGTCAATAAATGTCTAATGTTTCCTGTATGAAAATGGTTAATCACACCATTATAATTACCATTTTAATTCCATGTTTCTAGGCACTTATGGTTCTCCACAGATTCTATTTCATTGTTATGTATGTATTGTCATGATTTCTTTGGAAAGATCATGGAGTTTGTTTTCCGTTGCTTCCTCCATGGTTTTGAATTCAAAGATGGCTTACACCTCAGACTGGCTGTCACCTAAAGCAAGAGAACCCACCCTATCCTGTTGGTGAGAGAAGTTAGGAATTCATCATTTTTCCAATGACATTTGTGCAAAGGTGAAGACTTAGGCCAGGATTTGAACTTAGGGTGTTGAGTTCACTTTCTGTATCAATAAACATTATACTACTTGTGCATCCATTATTTTCTATTATTTATATCAGTTGTCAGCAGGTAATTATCAAACATTAAAACCAAAGATAAAAATGGAGGAAAAAGATTTATAAATATCTATTTCTTTATTTCTAAGTCAATTTCAGATATTGATAGTTTTGTTTTTGGGTAAAACAGGATGCCAAAAACTGATTTCATTAAATGCAAAGATTTATTTTCATTTCTTTCTTTCTTCTTGGTTATATGAGTGCTAGTTGTGTAATTTAGATAAAAAAAAAAAAAAAAACAGAATTAAATAAATGAAATTCTCTCTTTTTAATAGAATCAAAATTGTGTTTATGATTCTGAATCATTTTTAACTAGCCAATGTTATAATCTAGTATAATGAATATAATTTACTGTATTTTCTTTTGTATTATACGATTTGAGTATATAATACAGTCCTGTTTTTCAGCCATCCCTATGTAAATTCTTTTAAAAAGTTGTGCCACATTATTCATTAAAACCTCTATTTTGTACATATATTCCACTAAAATAGTTAATTTTTCAAAATATTAAAGGATAGAAATGAATTGGATGTTTAGCCATTGTCTGTTTCTTTTCCTAATTTCCTTTCCCAACCTTATTTCTAAATTTTGGGGGAAGGTGATAACTAGACATACCTGTTCATACATTTTAAGGTGTTAATTAATCGATCATACTTTTGTGTTTCATACAACCTTATTATATTTCTACATATTAATAAACTATGAAAATAAAAAATATTGTCTTTCATTAAGACTGAAGAGAGAAAACTTTATAAATATACAAGAAAAACAAAATATAAACAAACTTTATTTTGCATGCAAAACTGAGTGCATTTGCAAATTTTCCTGTTTTAAATAAGAGGTTTTTTAAACTGATTAAAAATTTCTGAAAACGTGTACTTGTGTATAATACGACCCCACTTATTTGCCTTTAATTTTCATTCAGAATTTCTCGTATTAAACAGAAGAAAATATGCTAATGCTTTTTTTTGAAAAACCTGAACTTCAAATAAAATAGATGGTCTTTCTTCCATCTTTTTTTAATGGAAAATAATTAAATTCACACATTTTTGTTTGATGAATTTGGACGAGGTTTCTCATAAGAAATTAAAGAGAAATTACCATTTATATTAGTAAATAGGGGAGATCAGGCTTCTTATACATTTTTTTATTTCTTTTATGTCAGTGTTATTTGGATAGTTTTACTTTTAATGATTAAAAGAACCAAATTATTTCTTACATGAAGACTTCTATCTAACATCTCCCTTCAGGACGATCATAGCTCTCCACATCTTCCTATCCTTTGCAGCTGTTAGTAATTGTTATGGGATCTTACCCATAATAATAATAATGGACTATTCCATACTTAATAAATACTGCACCTCAGGAGTAGGCAAGGAGTCAGTAGTTCAAGTCAAGTCAAGAGTCGAGCCAGAGGCACTCCGAAACAGAGTCACGTTCAGACAATTACTGCAAGACACTGGAATAGTGATACTGGTCGAGACTACATTGTTCTCTCTACTAAACCTGATTGTTCATACTAACACTTCTACTTCTCTGTATATATTCCTGTTTGTAATATATCTGTGTTATTCCATACCTGTGTTCGCGTTCTTCTTTACTGGTTCTACCTTGGACTATCACCGTGGTACAAGGAACCGGACCATAACAGTAATAAGTTTTGTCTTTTCAACACTCCTCCCACTCCCTGTTCTGCCATTTATATACACAAGCTTGTTTGGTAGGTTACTTTCTTTTTCCCTGTGTCCCTCTTGCCTTTAAGATGTCTTGTGAGAGTCACAATCTCTTTTTTCCTTATTATGAATCTAAGAAATTCCAACTATCACTTTCTGATTTTGTGTATAAGTGTCCTTTTTGTTTCCATTTTCCTTAAAAATTCTTTGTCGTGGAAACCTTTTATACATTTATAAGAAATATCTGTGCTTATTTTAGCGAATTTTTACAGTGAGAGAAAATGAAAGAAATGCCAAGAGAAAGTTGTTCATCTTTATGTGTTTATGTAAATTTTCTTGTTCACATATATTTTTATAAATTTATGAATAAAAAAATTGTTTTCATAGTTATTTCTTTATAATCTGGTAAATAATACAACATGGTCTACATATTTTTGTAATGTTGTAAATATAAAATTATACTTGTAAATAAACAATCTAATAATGTTTAATATTTTTGTTTCCATTTGTCAAGAAAACAATGTCTAAATCCAATTACATATGTTTGTGTTTTATTAAAATTATATAATTAGCTTTTTAAAACAATCAAAGTTATTGTGGCAGTATCCAGTAATGGTGGTGTGAAGAGAAAACTCTCTTTTTGACATACTATTTTTTGTGGGTATGTTTTCTAAACCTTTCTAATAGCTTTATCAATTTAATTTTGAATGATTGTTTTTTCTTTTCTTTTTTCAATCATTTTACCATAATCAAGATGGTAAAGTCAATAAGACACATGTCAAAGAATATGAGAAAAAACATTATTAAGGAGTGAGGCCAATAAAAGAACAGGGATTAAGAAGACAGAAGATAACGATTGGCATTGCTTTTAAATTTAAACTGTAAAATGATTAGACCTAGCTGCTAATCTTGTAGTGTGCTTAAATTCATAAAACCTAGGTACCAGAGAGGAATGCTCATCTGAAAAATGATCATGAAAATATTTATAGAAAAGACTCAGAGAAACCATATTATGGCAGTGAGACATTGACTGAAGTTGAAATGCCAGGTCAGAATAAGTATCATTGCTTCTTCTTTTTTTCAAGAATCTCTTAATACTTAACTGAATTAACAGACCAGATGTGGCAACAATTATTCAATGCATGGATGAATAGTAGACTTCTAAATGTGAAGGACAGATTCTGCTGAGAAAAATTGTCTAGCTTAATGCAGTGATCCAACTTTCCTAGCTGCAGACCTAGCAATTGATTCAATATAATTGTTCCACTTATTTTAAGTGTAAAACATTAAACCAATGAGGTTAATGTCAGCTATCTTGATGGATTGCAAAAGTGGTTCTCAAAGTTGATAGAAAGGGAGACGTTTTGTTATGCCAACACTGCAAAAATGGAACATCATGGAAAGATTCTTGTGAGGCACTACCAGTGAAAATACTCTAACTTGGAGAATAAATCTATTTCCAGTTCAGTTTTGTTATAGAGTAGTTTCACAGTGGAGGCTTGTATTTCATTAAGTTGGTCCTAAAATAGGTTTGATGTACAAAACATTAGGAACTTGATATAATAGGTAATGATGCAGCAATCTAGTTGTGGTGGCTGATACTTTAATATCCAACTAATAACGGTCGTCTAGCATTAACTGACTCACCAACTCACTCAGGGACTGGCGACTGCTACTACTCCTATTTATTATAGGTGGGAGAGTCTATTAACAATAGGTGTGTTCCAGTATAACAAGTTTGTAGTGTGATAATAATAATGTCAGTCTGAATTTGTGCATACCCCAGTAATCGATGATGATCCAAAGCAAATATCTCCAGGTATATTAAATACTAATTATTATGTAATTTGCATTATTCATTTATATGTTCATCTTCAAATAATTTTTTGCATTATATTATACTGATTTCTGTATGTTTGTTATCATAAAACAGTAAAACTGGCACATCATAGTGAGATAATTTTTAGCACACTATCGTGCAAGCGCTTTAATTTGGAGAATGAAGCAATTTCTCATACAATTTGCAATTTAATAACATGGAGTTTGCATGCACCTTCACCATGAATAATTAAATTTCTCAAGGGAGATAACTCCAAGTAAATTAAATGCTATTTACATTGTAGTTTCTCTTATGTACTTACTAATTTCCAGATAATTATCATATAAAGTGTAATTTAAAAAACCAAAAAGCTTACCTATTGGGAACTGAGAGGCAAGGTGAATGAATGGAGAAAGTGAGGTGTAGGGTGAGGGATTAGATGCAGGTACTGGTGATCGCAGCTGTCCAGCAGTGAGGGATTGTGGGTAAGGATGGGGGATGTAAAAGAAGAATCAAAACAAGAAGAGGAGATCTTTTTTTTATGGTCTCTAGACTAATACAGATGTGTTGTCAATGGAAGAATGAAAATTGAATAAAAGGTTAGGCAGAGTACAAAAGGCTAGTGGACAGCATGGCAGATATAAGCAAAGGCAGAAGATAAGATGAAAATTTGTTACATTTCCATTGGGACCAAGCTTGAGAGCAGCCCTGGTGAGTCTAATCTGTACTTTCTGTCCTCAAACTACAGAAATATAAAGTGATTTGGATTCAACTTTAGTGGCTGCCAATTTAAGGAAGTACTTGAAAAATCTCACTTAAACCTACAGATCTACATATCAAAAACTATAGCAGAAACTTAGCACAGAATTGCCAATACTTTCTTCAGGTTATTATCATGAAAAACATATTTCAAAACTTACTTCTTTTTCAAAGCAGATTCTCCCATTTGCATATGCTGCCTAATTTATTATGAACAGTAATGGTAACCTGAACATTCTTCTCTCGCCCACGTTTTCCACACAGCACCATCTTCTCCTTCTTCTGAGTCGGTCTGTCCATTCCGGAAGTGCTGATTGTCGGAAGAAATCATGCTAACTCATTAAACTTGCATTTTCTTGTTGCCAAGAACGATATCAGTAAACAGGACTGAAGCACATTTGTCCGGTTTGGCACTGATCCTAAGACTGAATTGGTCTAGGGAGAGGTTATAGAATTTTCTTTCCAAGAAATAAGATGAGGTGACTGACACAGCAGGCTATTGGCATGAGATTACATGGATGGTGACATAAGTGAAAAGAAGCAAAGATGAGCTGCTTCCCACTACATTGGACTCAGCTTGGGGTAAAGAAGTGGAATTGGCCGAACTTTCAGAACCACTAACACAAATAAATTTCTCCAAGGAGAGTCTTCAGAAATTAATTCTCATTTCACAGATTCTTTGATAACTCATACTACTTTAATTTGAAGTATTTTTTGTCCAAGTTTTCAATTCTTATCAAGTCTATATTTACTTAGATTAGTTCTTCAGATACTCAAAATATTCTGGATATGTCTGCTTTTATGTCCGATGAAGAAAATGAGATAAAACCAATTAAAAATTAATTAATTTTTCCATGATGCAAGTTATAAAGAAACTAGAAAGGGTTTCTGGTCACTTGTGTAATTTTTTCACCCCGACACTGAGGAATGTCATTTTCCCCACTCCAACAATAACTGAATTTTTTCCTCTTAACAACAACATTGTTTGACATGCTTTAGCAATCCTACTTATGAAATAGACGTTCAGTCTTCCCAACTCAGTGTGAAGCTGATTTGAGCTCAACCAGCTTTACCCATTTGTATCCTTAGTCCCATAAATTATTTCAGAACCAAGAAAAAAAAAATGGACATACTTGGTCTTCCCAACTCAGCACAGGGCTGATTTGTGCTCAACCATGTTTAGCCTTTCATATCCTTATCTCCCATAAATGATTTCAGAAACAAAAGGAAAATTGATATACTCAAGAGAACTTTTAACTTTATTTCACTACAGTCAACATAAAATGAGTATGAATCCTTAGCAGAAACACAAGTTTTTTTGTAGGCTGTGTCTTTTGTATAAATACTTTCATGGTAATTGTTCAGATGGGCTCTTAACTATGGTACCTAGATTTTTTTAATTAAATCACAGTACTAAACTGGCATCAAGATCTTATCAATTTACAGTTGAACTGGGTAAATGTAGCCATAAATTCTATGCTAACAGTTTCTTTCTCACATTTTTCACTTGTAGAACTCTCTTCCAGCTCCATGTATTCCAGCCAAATTTAATCTGCAAAACTTTAAATGCAATGTCAGTCACTATATACTTTGCTCCTGATTACACTTTTCTCATTATTAATGTTTCTGTTTCTAATTCTTCCACACCCAGTAACCACCTTGTGTCTTAGTGGCTTTACTGTCTTGCATGGGGTGAAACCAATTAAAAAAAAATGCTTCTTCTTTTTTACATACTGAACACACACCTTCACCTAAAAATACTCACAACCATGTTAACACCTACAATCCCTTCAGGACATTGACTGATCATGTCTCTCTACAACATTTCTGTTCTTTCTAATTCTTCCCACTCCCTATTCTTCCATTCATTTATACAAGCTCATTAGATAGGTTACTCACAGCTTCCCCATATCTTGCTTGCTTTCAATATATCCTGAAAGTTTCAAATTTACCAAACCCTCTTTTTTCATTATGTGTGGCAGAAATTTCAATTTTCTTTCTGATTGTAAGTGTAACTCTATTTTTGTTTCCACTCTTCTTAAACATTTCTTGTTGCTCACATGTTCTATCCATAGTATTCTCAGTATCCATCAGTGGAACTGCATCACTCAAGACTCATATTCATCTGTAAGGAAATTGTCCAGCATTCACCATCATAGATTGATATTACATAGCATTTAAATACTTTGTTTCGCTTTTAGAAAGAATCTTTTGCTGTTTCAGTGCTTCTTCGGATTTTATTATCTCATTTTTTGTTGACTGTTGAAACACTTCCCAAATATTTAAATTTCTGTACTTGCTTGATTTTGACATCTCCAATTCCTGGATTACCTCTTAGTATGTTCCGCTTGCAGTAGCCATACACAACAGACTGATTTATACATAGACTTTTTGTTTAGATTTGCTTCAAGTCTCCTCTTCATCTGAAGAAATTGTCCAGCATTTACTGCCATATAGGAAGACCATTATTACATGGCAGTTCAGCACTGTTTTATTTGTTTCTTATAAAATTTTCTTGTTTCTTAATACTTTGTTTAATTTCTGAAAGGTAATTTTCACTATTTCAGTGTACCTTTGAATTTCGGTCTCCTACAATAAACAGGTTTAGATTTAGCAGTTCAGTTTTTTTTTGTATCTAATGAAATTTTCCTATTTATTAATATTTTGCTTAGATTTTAGGAAGCATCTTTTGCTGTTTCAATGCACTTTCAGATTTCATTATCAAATTTTCTGTTGACTGTTGAAAAACTTCCCAAATATTTAAATTTCTTTATTTGCTTGATTTTGCCTCCTCCAATTCCTGGGTCATATCTTAGTCTGTTCCACTTGCAGATAGCCATACACAACAGACTGCTTTATACATAGACTTTATACAAAAAAAAACCTTCAACTTTTTATTTTGTTCCTATAAAAGTTAACTAGATTTGCTGAAAGTGCAAAACTAGCAAAATATGAGTCTTATTATTGGACCGAGTTTGCTTATTTCTTTCAAAAATGAAAGTTGCTATGAGAAGAAAATCTTAACTCAATTTTGCTTGAAAAGATCAAAAACCTAATTATTTTGCCCTAGAATGTTTCCTGTGGTAATTAAATAGAAAAATAAGTACAAAAAAATTAAATCATGAAATAAAAAAAGGAAGAAAATTCTTCTGGAGAACCAAATCTCTGTTACATCAAGTCTCAGCCAACATTCACTGCCATACAGGAGCACTCTTCTTTGTTTTTTTTTTTTGCCACCTTCATATCATTTCATCTTCACAATTGACCATAGATTTTCAATCGGATTCAGATTAGAACTTGATGGTGGCTGTTCCATTATCTTCTCTTCTGTAAACCTTTTATGCTCAAAGAATTCGCAGGTAACCTAAGATACTTGAGAGGTATTGTCTTGCATATATACTCACTTCATTTTGTAACTGCATAGCTGCATCTTGTACCATTCAAAGAAAGTCATGATGATGAAATACTGTTTACTTTAACTCCTTCATCAATGGTAAATGGTCAAATAATGGTTTGGTTGACAATTCTTGCCCATCATCACAATGCCACCTCCTTGTTGCCTTCTTTAAGCCACAGGCACATCTGCATCAGATAAAATTCTCACTTTGTTGAGCTATCAGAAGACATTACTTTTCCATTATATCTTTGGAGTTTAGTGTCACATTTTCCATCATCTACTAAAATACTTCTTTCATATTTTATGTGCCATGTCTCTTCAGAAGGTAGGCAATCATGGCTCTCCACTTACCTTATTCCTTGTAGCTCTCAACATGTTTTGTCCTTTTTGCTACTTCTCCCAGACTCTGTTCTGACATTCACTTGCTTAAGCCTGCTAGGTATGTCACATGTTGTTTTCCTCTGTCTCTCTTTTCCTCTATCCACCTGTGAGTGTCAGATTCTCCAAGCCCTTTTTTCTCATTACGTGTCCCAGAAATTTCAGCTGCCTCTTCCTGATGTTAAGTATAAGCTTCCTCCTTGTTTGCATCCACTCCAAAACTTCATTGCTCATATGTTCGGTCCATGGTATTCTTAGCATCCTTCTGTAGAACCATACCTCTGTTGCCTTCAGTCTCTTCATCCTTAAGGAGACTGCCTAACATTTGTTGCCATAAAGGATAACAGATATCACATAGCAGTTCAATACTCTTTTCTTTGTTGCCAACAAAATCCTCCTGTCTTGTAATACTCTATGTAGCTTTTGGAATATGACTTTGGTCATCCCAATACGTCTTCGGATCTCAGTGTCACACTTAGCATCCTCTGTCAGAACTCTTCCCAGATAGTTAAATTTCCGCGCCTGCTTGATTTTAGTGTCCCCGACCTGTAAATCACATTTTGGGCTCATCTTTTTACTGATGACCATGCATTCTGTCTTCTTGTAGTTTATGCTTAGTCCCTTCTTCTCGCTCTCCTTCACTACCTTCTGTAGGAGGTTTTGTAATTTCCTTTCTGTTTCTGCTTCTCAGCACTGTGTCATCTGCGTAACTTATGTTGTTAAGATTGTGGCCACCAGTGATGAATCCTGGTAGGATTTTCAGTTCTTTCAGAATTGCCTTGCTGTAAAGGTCTGCTGAGAAGATACATCCTTGCCTTATGTCCCTTTCTATTTTTGTATATCTGCTGAACTATCCACATGCAGGCCATTTGCTGCCAGTATAGGTTCTTGATTATTCTAATGTCTTACCTAAATATATCAAGGTTACCAAGCAGTTCCAGCAGATCCTTGTAGTGTACTTTATTGAATGCCTTTGCATATTCTATAAAACATAGGTGCACATCCTTCTGCATTTGTATTGCTCTTTCTGATAACATTCTGAGCATAAATATCGCATCCCTTGTTCCGGGGTCTTTAATGAACCAGCACTGTTCTTGTCCTATCTCTGGCCTGATTCTGCTGTGCACTCTATTCATCAGAATATGGATGATTAGTGTTGTTATGTTGCTCATTAGGCTGATTGTTTGGCAGAGTTCACATTCGTTTGTGCCTGGTTTCTTAGACAGTGATATGAAAATAGATCTGCTGAGATCTTCCGATATATTACCATTGTTGTAGATTTCATTTATTATTTCTGTAATCTTGTCTATGCCAAAATCATCTAAGGCTGTCAGCATTTCTGTTTCAATTCTGTCTGACCCTGCCACCTTGTTTCTGTTCAATTTCGCCAATGCAGCTTCTACTTTGTTTTTTAGAATTTCAGGTCTGTCAGTAGTTCAGTGTATTGCTGGTTGTTCTCTTTCATTGTGTATTTGTTCCAGCGCTGAACAATTTTTTCCTTGTCTAATATGAGTTGTCCATCCTTTGATTTTATGCAACCTGCTGACAAGCATGTCTTCTGTCCTGTTAGTTCCCTTGTTTGTTTGTGCATATCCCCTTTGTTGGTGGTAATCAATCTCCTTATTTCTGCACATTTTTTTGTTTAGCTACTCTTCTTTAGCATGTTTGGATTTGGTCCATATTTCATTGTGTAGTTTTCTGTATTCTGTTCCATATCTTGGCAGAGTTTTCTGTCTCCTTTGCATCATATCAAGAATCTCATCAGTCGCACATTCGTTTTTTCTTCATCCATTCTCCTTTGGGATGATATCATTTGCTGATGTCACTAAGGCTTCTTTTAGTGTGTCCCATTTCAAGTTTTGATTTCCGTTATGTCCCTCATATCTTCTTTTCACACTGTCCATATATTTTTCCGTCAACTATGGGTCAATCAGAAGTTTGTTGTATTGCAGTTTGGGTCCTGTGTTAGGCTTCTTCAGGTTCCATAATTTTGATATCTCCAATTTAGAGATCAGATATTTGGCTGTCCTTTTTGCTAACAATTTTAAATTGTTTTCTTACAGTTGATAGCTAGTCCTTTCTTCCTTGCATCCCTTTACTACCTTGCCTTAGAGTTCCTGCTAGCACTCAGCATATCAATTCCATTTTCCATTTTCCATGTTGTACTCCCTTTATGTCCATATTCAACAATATCTTGGGTCAAAAAATAGATTTTTTTACTGATTCGTTGGCATTTTCCCACCAGTTTTTGCACATACTGATCCAGAACTAATCTTCCATTGATGAGAAATTTTTGGCTTAAAGGAATTCTTTAATTTTTTTTTTTTACATAAATAATCCCCCAATAGCCAGGGCTGAATGTCTAGTAAGCAGGAATCAATTCAGGAAAACAATACAAATCTAGTTACAACTCTCCGAGACAAATAGACGTGATGTGTACGTATACGTGTGTGTATGTGCTTGCCTCTAAGTCATGCTCATATAAATTGCATGTGCCCGATCATGCATGTACCAAATATGCAGACTTTTGTCCTCACTTCAGCGCCTTCATTGTAATCTGCTTCCTCCAAAAAAGATTATCATTCCAAGCTTGAAAAAAAGATGTTTTGTAATTAACTGAAGCAATTAGATTTTAATGAGTATCTTTCAAGTAATTCTTTTTCTTGATTTCTTTCTCTTTTTCTCTTTCTTTGTTACATTTTCTTTCCTTCTCTAGCTTTTGACTGTTTCTCTCTTTTTTTCATTTTTCTGTCTCTTTTACTTCATTTAAGCTTTCCTCCATTTTTTTCTCTTTATTTTTTCATTATTTATTGTCTATCTTAATTTTAATGTCTTGCTATTTCAACTTTACTTTCTTTTTCCTTCTCTTATCTTTTTCTTCTTCTTCATTATTCTTAAATTTCATCTTTTCTTTCTTTTCCTTCCTTATTTTTCTTCTTTTTATTTCTTCTTTCTTGTTGGTTTAAAAATTAATTTTCATTAATTTCTTTTCCATTTAATTTATTTAGTCTTTCCTTTGATTTTTTTTCATTCCAATCCTTGTCATTACTTTTTTATTCCTTCTCTTTCATTGTTCTCTTTCTTTTTATTCTTCATTGTCTGTATTTTCCCCTCCCTCTATTTTCTTCTTATTCCATTTTCTCCCTTTTCATACTTCTCTCATTTTAATTTTCTTTTTCTCTTTTTCATTCTTCACATTTTTGCTTTTCAGCTTTTCTTTTTTTTGTTTCCCATTTTTCTTTTCTTCTTCATCTCTATCCTCTTTTCTCATTTCTTATTTTCTTTTTCCTTTTCTTTTTATTCTTCTTTATCTTTGTTTCTCATTTTACTTTTGCTTTATCCTCTTTTTTATTTTACTCATTTTTTATTCTTCTCCTTTTTATTCTCTTTGTTACTTGTTTTCTCTTTCCTTTTTTCCCTTCCCTTTTTATTCTTCTCTTTGTTTCTTATTTACTCCTTTTATTTTTTTTCTTCTTCTTTGTGCCTGTTTCTTATTTGATCTTTTTCCCTCTCCTTTTACTTATTCTATTTTTATTCTCCTTCTCATTGTTTCTCTTCACATTTCTATTTGTTTCTCTTTATTTTTTGTCTCCCCTTGTTTTATATCTCTTCCTCCATAGTTTTCTTGAATCAACTTTAAATTAATTTAAGAAAAGAAAGAAGTATTTATTCTGACTCCCATTAGTTCTTCTTTTATAAATGTAATCTGCCATAAAACTGAAATTGAGTTAAATTCTAGAAAGTCAAATTCTTTCTTGTCTTCTTTCTAAAATGACAAAGGAAAGTGAAAGATTGAAGCCACTTTGAAGAGAAAAGTCATTTCCATTGTGGCTTGACACTTATCACTGAACTGTTTTTAACTCATATATCATTTTAAGAAAATCTTCTTTTATGTTCTTTTAATTTTTAGCCCTTCATGATATTCACTTACAGCCAAAAATCAACAATGATATATATATATATATATATATATACACACACACATATATATATATTATAGATATATTTTATATATATATACACACACACACACACTATATATATATATATATATTTATATATATTATAGATATATTTTATAGATATGTCTTTATATATATCCTATATCTATATATATTATAGATATATGTATATATATTTATCATATATCTATATCTATCTATCTATCTATCTATCTATCTATCTCTCTCTCTATATATATATATATATAGTTCATCTGAAGCTATTATGCAAATCACATAAAGTTCAATAACTACAAATATATATTTACTTCTTGCAGAAAACCAACATTGTTTATAAATTTAAGTGTCCTCTGGGAGATTGCATCTCTCATGGTAAAAATAATATTTATGTTGGACACACTACAACAAGGCTGTCTTGGCAGCTAATTTTTCATTTGAATAATATGTCTAATATTTCTAAACATATACAACCACATACCTGTCCACATTTGCAATTCAGAAAAATCTTTGTTGAAAATACCTCTCTACTTTTTTATGAAAAGAATAAACATAAACTAAAAATTCTTGAAGCTATCTATATTAAAAAATTGAAACCAAACCTTAATAAAAATTAATCATGAATACTCCACAAATATTTTAAAATGTGTATAGTAGATAGGTTGAAATGCCAAAATTTGCAATAATAGTTTCTCTTTTTAATACACATTCTCCAAATTACATGGTTTTAGCTGTCATGTACTGACACAGCATTCCTCACTCCATTTGTAAGAAATTTAACTTTCAGAATGGTTTTAGCAGTCATCTACTGATGTAGCGTTCCTCATTCCATTTATAAAAAAATTAACTTTCAGATAACACAACAATTTGTCTCTGACAATAATGGATACTATAATATTCATTTGAATATAAACAATACCCTAATTATGACATGCATATGTCGAAAGTGCTTGGGAATAAAACAAATATGCATAAACACAATGAATGTCTCTCATCTTTTAGTAATGACATCAAAAAGGTATCCGAGGGTATGAAAGTATCTTAACGAAAATGAGTAGACAGAATATATCTAAAAAACTGTACAATGAAACATGTCTTGCTGAAAATATGCTGCTGAAAGATATAGCATATATATATATATATATATATACACACACATACATTATATCAGGCTAATGTTATGAAAACAAAGCAGTATCATTTTTGTCAGATGAAATATCATTCTCCACCTGCCCCATTTATACATACATTTGTACACACACACATATATATATATATATATATATATATATATATGCATTATGTCATGTCAGGTTAAAGTTATAAAAATAAAGCAGTATCATTTTGCCAGATGAATTATAATACTCCATCCACTTCATTTATTTATATATATATATATATATATATATATATATATATATATATAGGCATTGTAGGTGAGGTGTGATGTGTTTTTTGCTATACACTTTTTTATATATGTACATTTGAGGATGGGGGCTACACTAGTTCTACAAAACTCATCAATTTTCTCTACTTATCCTGATGATAAATTAAGAAAGTCAAAAGCTTCAATCATATTTCTTGTACTATCTAACCTACCAACAAGCAGATACCAGTTCTGCTAAACTTGGAAATGAGAAGATATGTCTTAACATTTTAAATTATTGCATATCTATATATATTGGGTGTTAACAATAATAGCACCCTAAATTTCCAGGAACCAGTTTTATAAAGGCAAGTAATCTTTAGGAACCTATTCTGCTTATTTTCTTTTCAACCTGAGAATGGAAACAAATCACTTGATAGTATCAAAAGGAATTCAACCATTTTGATAATTTAATAGAAAACATTTATTTATTAATTCTCATCCTATTTCTGTTCAGAAGTATGATGCTTTTTGACTAGTGTCATCAGCTGTGTTATGGTTTCTTAGCCATATTTGAAATGAATCATTGCCATCCCAAATATTTAATGGAAGGACTATCGAATTTATCACTAGAAGATTTAACACATTTTAACTACAAGATTTCTTTGGTCAGAATAAACTATTTTCATTTATGTCAGGTAACTCTACAAGACCTATTGGTACCATGTAACCAGTGGTGTCACCCTAAATTTACAAGAACAGATTCTATAAAGGCGTGTTTTCTTTTCATTCTGAGAATAGAAACAAATCATTTTATAGTATCAAAAAGAATTCAATCATTTTGACAATTTAATAGAAAACATTTATTTATTAAGATATTTCCAGAGTGAAATTATGTTCTCATCATATTTCTGTTCAGGAGTATGATGCTTTTTTGACTCTAGTGTCATTAGCTGTGTTATGGTTTCTTTTGCACTGAATCACTGTAATCCCAAAGATTTAATGGAAGATCTATCAAATTTATGAATAGATTTGCCACATTTTTAACTTCACGATTCTTCAAAGGGAATGTGATAGGTTAAACACTTTTCGGTATATTAGTTGGCTTAACCTTTTCCATCAACTCTCTTTCTTTCATCTATTTTTTCTATGCAGCTACCATTATCTAACTATATCTTTTTTTACTTTTACTTTTTTCTTCCTAACTAATTGATGTTTATTATTGTGTTATAGGATATGTGTCTGTTAAAGTTTCACTAGGCAAACACGAGTGTAGCATAACTAATATTTTGACTAGACTATCAGCTATTTATATATAAGATTATTTTCGGATAATCCAACAACCAGTTCACTAAGCCTTCATAATTTTAAGAATTGGTTTGAAAAAACAAGCAGGATGCCACCACTGGGTGTTAGGAGAGCAATTTTTTCATTTGCACAGGTTTGGTTGAAGCCCAGCTGAAAATGTTTGTTTAACATTTATTTTTATTTAATTTTTCTATGATTCCAATCATTTTTCTACTCTCTGAGGTGAGTTTGTAAATAAATTGTTCAATGTCTTCTGAGCACTTTCAGTTCAAGCCATTATTTGAGAGTTTTATTTTTATTTTGATTGGGATGTGTCTATGTGTAAGCATTGTGTTTCTTTTGTGGTTTTTCAAATGTAGTGTCTTCATGCACCAAGTATTTTCAAGTCTTTTCTCTTCACACGTCGTGTCATATCATTATGAAAGTGGTTTATTTGGAAGAATCCATTGGGAAAAAATGAACACATGCAGCACACAAACATCTCTGTCGATTGTGTAATCATAAACAAAAGTGTACTTACAGCCAAATCATGTTGAAAACACCAGTTCTTGTATGATCACTGAAGTTAAGCAATGTCAAGACTAGCTCAGTGCCTAGAGGGGTGACCACTTAGGAACACCAGGTGCTGTTAGCTTGAATGTGTGCAGCTGCTGTAATGGATAACAGCTTGGAATTGGAAATTGGACAGCCGAGTTCCAATTCCAGTCAAGTTCATTGTATTACATGTGCAAATACCCTTGCAAAAGGTATGAATCCACCTTTTCTCCCCACTAGGTATGGGTGAATTAGTAATACTTGTGTCACTAAACTATTATTATCTACAAAAAGAAAATTCTTACAATCTAAAAATATTTCCTGGCTTTAAATAACCTGCAAAGGGTTGATAAGCTGTAAAAAATAAATCAGTCAATCAATTGATATTCTGGTCATCACTTGAGGTGTGAAACTTACAGTTACCATACAGCTTTAATTTCTACATTTCCACTGTTTATATATACAAACATTCAATCCACCTTTTCTCCCTCCAGCTATGTGTTAATTAGTAGGACTTTTATCAGTAAATCATTATTATCTCTGAAAAAATTCCCAGAATAAAAAAAGATTTTCTGGCTTGAAATAACCTACAAAAGGTTGATAAGCCATAAAAAACAAATCAATCAATAATAATCAAAAATGTTTAAATACAGGCAATATACAAAACCAAGAAAATAAACCTCAACATATAACATTCATATTGTAACTGAAAACTACAAACAGGGCAAATATATGGTAATGGTAATATTAGCCATTTTCTTATAAAGAAACATTTGACATTCATTGACCTTTGTCTGATCCTTTGTCCTCAATATGTCCAATGAATGTCAAATGTTCCACATCCTCTTTCTTCATTCTGTGCCCTAAAAAAATTCAACTATCACTTTCCAATCTTAAGTTTGTGTCCTTTTTGTTTCCATTTTCTCTAAAGCTTCATCTTTGCTCATATGTTCAGTCCATGGTATTCTCAGCATCCTTCTGTAGAATCACATCTCTATTTGCCTCCAGTTTCTTCTTCATCTTTGAAGAGATAGTCCAGTATTCACTGCTATATAGGAGGATTGATCTTATTGTACATACAAGTTCAGTACTCTTTTCTTTGTTTCTAATGAAATTTTCCTGTTTCTTAATACTTTGCTTAGCTTTTATAATGCATCTTTCTTTATGCAATATATCTCGCAGTGAAAAATTGACTGAGGCCAATATGCCAAATCTGGGCCAATAATATTTCTGATTCTTCTTTGGATTTTATCAAGAATCTGTAAATATACAGCTGGAGCACCAGACCATATGTGGCAGCAATATTCAAGGTGTAGGTGAATAGTAGATTTA